CAGGTGCAGGACCCATCTGCTGAGAGGCCCTGTGGCAGAGGCTGGGGATGCCAGGGTGCAGACCCTATCTGCTTGAGCACCCAACTGTGATGCAGAGCTGGGAGACAGGTGCCGATCTATCTGACACCATTGTGCAGAGCTGGGGATGCAGGTTGCAAGAGCCCTATCTGCTGAGAGCCCACTGTGTGCAGAGTGGGGATGCCCAGGGTGCAGCTCCTATCTGCTGAGAGGCCCACTGTGGGCAGAGCTGGGGATGCAGATTGCAGACCTGATCTGCTGAGAGACCCACTGTGTGCAGGAGCTGGGCATGCATGGTGCAGACCCTACGCTGAGACCCACTTGTCAGAGCTGGGCATGCAGGTGCGAGATCCTATCTGGGTGAAAGCCCAGCCGCCCAGAGGCCTCCAAGTCCCTTCCCCAAACATACTTATGGCTGGGCCATAGACAGGAGACCCCGGTCTGCCTGTGCCAGTGGCACAGGGCTGGTGCCAGTCGCGGGTCAGGAGCCATCAGTAACAATCTGAGGCGCCTTGGGTGGGGTTGCCGGGCAGGTGATGGTCAAAGGAAGGACCCAGGCAGGGGAGGTGAGGTTTGCGAGGGCAGGGAAAGGCGGTGGGAGCGGGAGAACCCCATGGAGGTGGGGTGAAGGTCAGAGAAGGCAGGGGTGGGGGGTAGGGGGGTGGGGGGTAGTGGATGTGGCTGCCTTCCCCACCCCCCGCCACATGGGGAGCCTTGTCTCCCTGTGCACCGGCTGAGGTGTCGTTTAGCCCTGGGCTGCAGTGCGCGACCCACTGTGTAACACTGGCTCATGCCTCAGATTTTCCCAGTCCTCGTCGACCGAGCATCGCCCAAGGACCTGCCCAAGAGGCAGGGCAAGTTTTGGGGTCCAAACAGGGACGACCCAGCGATGGCTGGCAACAGCCCTGTGCCCTGGCACACGGGCAACGGGGCTCCTGTCTGGGTAAGCCGGCGCCCAGCCATAAGTAGTAAGTATGAGGAAGGGACTTGGGAGTGCCCTCTCGGCACGAGCACACATTGGGCTTCTCACCAGATAGGATACTGCACCCTGCCATGCCCCAGCTCTGCACACAGTGGGCTCTCGGCAGATGCGGTCTGCACCCTGCATTGCCAGCTCTGCACACAGTGGGCTCCTCAGGCAGATCAGGTCTGCAACCTCGCAATCCCAGCTCTGCACACAGTGGGCTCTCAGCAGATCTAGGGTCTGCCACCTGAATCCCCAGCTCTGCACACAGTGGGCTCTCAAGGCCAGATAGGTCTGCACCTGCATCCCAGCTCTCACAAGTGGTGGTGCTCAGCAGATAGGATCGCCCGCTGTTATCGAGCTCTGAGCACAGTGGGTGCTCAGCAGATAGGGTCTGCGCACCGGCCCTGCATCCCCAGCTCTGGCACACAGTGGGGCTCTCAGCAGATCAGGGTCGTGCACCTGCATCCCCAGCTCGTGCACACGGTGGGCTCTCAGGCAGATAGGGTCTGCAGCCCTTACATGCCCCAGACTCTGCACACAGTGGGCTGGCTCAGCAGATAAGGGTCTGCCCTGCATCCCGCAGCTCTGCACAC